CCGCACCCCCCCAGAGAGGAGCAGAGGAAAGAACCGGGTGACCCCAGCCACCATAATGCAGTGCCTCCAGGAAGCTGCAGCGACGAGCCCACAGGCCCGGCCGGCGACCCATGCCCCCCCCCCCCCCCCAAGTAGATCCGGCCATGGACACTGAGCCCCAAGCCCCGAGGACATACCACCCCCCAGCAGAGCCCCGACAGAGCCAGGGCACCCAGGCCCCGCCAGGCAGCAACCAGGGCGGACCGACGTGCACCCCACCACCCAGCCCAGACACCGAGAGCCACCAATGCACCGGTGGCAAGGGGGTCCCCTGCCAAAGGGGGGCACGACCGGGGGGAGTGGGCCCCACACCAAACGTGGGGCCCAAATTGATCCAAGAGAGGGGGGACCACCAAAAACCCAACCTGAGCAACCAACAGGCACACACAGTCGGGCCGACCGCATGCACCATCTACCTGACAGCGACCACAGGCCGGCCCCAGCCCAAGGGGCAGAGCAGCAGGGAGCCGCAGCTGAGGAGGGCCGGCTCTCACATCAAGAGCTCCGCACCATAGGCCCGGAGACGCCCCAGCACGCCACCCATGCACCCCCCCACACCCCCCCCCACACACACACAGCACCCCCACCGCAAATGCCACACAGGAAGACCAGCCAGTGCCCGGATGAGGCGAAGCCACGCCCCCAACCGCCGCCCTACACCACCAACGACCACACGTACACTACCATAGCCGACCCCCCGCCGAAAGCCGGCAGCCACCCCGGTCAAAGTGCCGGCCATCGCAACCAGGAACCTAGATTAAAAGAATCGGAACAGCCCAGGAGGAACCGAAGCACCGGCCCCATCACTGACTGCCCCCAAGGCCCAAAGCCCACCCACAGCCCAGACCCCAACAATGCACCCCCCCCTCCATCCCCGACCCCTAGTGTCACACGGAGAAAGGAGGTGTTTGTGAAAGGGGAAAAAAAAAATAAATAAATAAAAAAAAATAAATAAATAAATCTATATATGCATAAATAAATTATGAACAGACCCACTTCCTCCTCCTCCCACTCGAATATGGTGTTGATGCATGTTGTTATACAGTGCGTTTAAAATGGGGGGATGAGGTGGCGACCGGCACAGACCCACCTCTTGCCCAGAGAGCAGGCGGCGCCCGTTCACCCCTCATCTCCGCCCAGAACCCTAAATGTCTACATGCTACATATGAGAGTGGGCACAGGTCCGGGGAGGTGGAAATGGTAGTACAACCCACCACCTAAGTGCGATCATGTGCCCACTCCAGATCCTATATATGCATGTGTCGTGAGAGTGTTATAAGTGAGTGTCTAGGTTGTATATTAAAATTAGGGCCCAGGACCCCACCAGCCACGGAGATGGATGATTCTCCCCGTAGCTCAGTAGTACACCTGAACCCCAAAACCCTGTTTGAGTGGTGGTGTGGTGGAGTGGGCGGAGGAGGACGTTGGGATGGGGAGGTGAACTGAGGTGGCAATGCCCCCCCAGGGGACCAGCTCCCCCACTGACCCCAATAGGCACCCCCCACTCTCCGAGATCCACCAGGGGACAGAGGCTCTGTCAGCCTGTGGCACCTCAGCAGTGCCACAGGCTGATTGCCTCCATGCCACGCTGCATTGAAGCAGTCATTCATGCAAAAGGATCCCCGACCAAGTATTGAGTGCATAACTGAACATGATTATTTGAAGGTTGTTGTTTTTTGTATTAAAAACACTTGTCTTTGGTGGGATGAAATATGCTAATTTTTTGGGACAGGCATTTTGGGTTTTCATGAGCTGTATGCCATAATCATCAGTATTAAAACAATTAAAGACCTGAAATATTTCAGTTGGTGTGCAATGAATCTGAAATATATGAAAGTTTCATTTTTATCATTACATTATGGAAAATAATGACCTTTATCACAATATGCAAATTTTTTGAGAAGGACCTGTATAGCATTTCACCATCTCAATGTACCTTAAATGTTTCAATGGTAATAGGAGCTAGTTACTTGCAAGAGGCTTTGTTTTCATTCTCCAGATCAATACAAAGTGTTCAGAAATAGTATAACACAATCAGTGACATTTAGTATATAAAATTACAATAACCTGGAGGATAGCGCTGGCATGCTAACTCCACAAACAAACAAAGAAATAAAACAAACTCACCAGTTCCCACTTTTAGAATGCACAGTCAGCTGAAGGCTTTTTCACAGAGACATCTAAAAGTTGAAAGGCATATCAGTCAGAAATGGCAAATAGGCATTAGATAAAGGGCTACCTGCAGCCAGCCTGGTTGTATCACTGCATGGATCTGTTCCCGGACAAAAAAAAAACAACTGACCGGAATCACATGTAACATCGTTACTGATGTGTACAGCTCATGTTCAACATGCCCCGGGTGCCGATATCTGCGTCAAGAATCTTCCTATTCCTTTGTAACAACGCAGAATAACTGCACATGTGCCATTTTTAATGAGAGTCTATGAATTAGATTCATGTGCCCCCAAGACCGGAAATACGTCACCAATCAGACAACGTTTTTTGAAACAAACAACATAACTCATCATTACCTATAAAATATTTATCCTACACAACTAAAATCATATATACATATATTTTGAAATATTTTTATTTTATTATTTCATTTTTATTTAATTTTTTTTAAGTCTTCAATGTAAAATGGTGAATAGTTCCAGAAGCCCCAGAAGGGCGGTGCTCTAGCGCCCCCTACAGTCCAGCTGTCCCTGCTCCGTTGCTTTTTTTGGATCATCAAAAACCCTATCCTTACCTCTGTATGTGGCACGGAGTCTCGCTGGAAAAAGGAGGCCATATTTAACCCCCGACGGGTTCTGTAGGAGCCGGTTTGCCTCAGTGAATGCTGCACATGATCTTGCCACCTGCGAGGTGTAGCCAGCCAAGATGAACATGGCCGACCCTTTGAATTTTATCCGACCGCCGCTGCGTGCTTGCTGCAAAATCTCCACACGTTACCAATGTTAATCTTATCCGAGCTGCCCCTGGCCTCTGTCTGGTACACAAAGTCTATCAATGGTGGTTTATCCAGTTTTAGGACTTCCATTAGCATGCTAGCAATCACAGTGGGTGAACACTCAAACGTTGACTTTGGAAGTCCAATAATCCTAATGTTTTCACGTATTGTTTGCCCCACTACAGCCTTGGACTGTTTTTTAGCCCATTAATTTCAGTCCTCAGCTCCACCACTGTTGCATGCAGCTTTTCCAGTTTGCTTGAGTGGGAAGACGAGCATTTTTTTAGCTCCAAATTAGCAGACCCAGCCTGGTCGATATCCGCTCTGAGAGATGCAGCGGTGTTCGTCAGCTTGGTCCAAACCACCAATAATTTGCTATTTTTTTGCTCTAAAGTCAGAATCTTCAGTCAGAACTGCTCTCAGTTCTTTATTAATCATTGCTACAGCATGGGCTCTTATTGAGGCCAGGAGGTCTGATCTTAGAGCCGAGTCGTCTCTCCCTCCAGTGCCCAGCGATTCAGTCCGAAACACTAGCAGTAGCGTTAGCATTAACAATGGGCCATGGTGGAGACGAAAGCAAAACTTTAGATTTTTTGTGCTTAGAGGCCATATTACCTACTTGCTCAGTACTGCGGCAATACTAATCTCGGAAACGGAATCCAGCCCAGAGGTAGCGAGAGTGTAGTTATAAAAATTTGTTTTCCATCAGGCCTGACGGGAGCTGTCCAAGACACAGCCTACATCATCGGCACCATCTTGGGTCTCCCGGAATTTCTTCTTTAATTGAAAATGTGTTTTTTATCCTTATCTTTATGTTTGTGGGCAAATGTGGCTGAGTGGCTTGAACAGTTGTCCTCCAGTGGAAGAGATGGAGGTTCGACTCCACCAGCAGTCACATGTTGAAGTGTCCCTGCACACTGAACATCTTATTACCTCTGATGTGTGTCCCATTGATGTATGAATGCGATCTAAAGCACTGATTACCGGTAGTCTCTTTAGAATTATTTTTGTTCAATTAGCTTGGTAGAAAGCTAGTAAAGTATTGTGTGAGTATGTGAGTGTGTGTAGGTAAATGAGGGCACTGATTGTGTTATAAGTATATAAGTACAGTCCATTTATCCTAAATGATACATGGGCATTGTGCCTGTTGTACATCTTAAAACTGATTTTTTTTTTTTTTGGGGGGGGGGGGGGGGGGGTCCTTGTGGTTTTTCACCTACCATTGGATGAATAGCTGATTCAGCTGCACCTCAATTCAATTCAATTCAGTTTATTTATATAACGCCAAATCACAACAAAGTTGTCTCAGGGCACTTTACAGAAACATTCACATACATAAAAGCCAATCGGTAAAGTTCTCTAAGGAATCCAGCAGACAAGTTGAATCTTGGTTTTGTTGCAGTCTCCCATCCTGAGCAAGCACAGTGGCAACAGTGGAAAGGAAAAACTCCCTTTTAAAAGGAAGAAACTTCCAGCAGAAACAGGCTCAGGACAAGCGGCCATCTGCTTTGACTGGCTGGTTGAGAGGACGAACATAGCACCTCTTCCCTCTGATCGTGCCATTATGGCAGGCTGGCACAGTGGGCACCAGACATCGGATGAAACACTGAAAGGATGAGAAGGATGAGATGTAGTTGGTAGGGTCGCGATTCGTGGGTGGCACTAAAGAAGGTTGTCTGATGCCTGTGACAGCATTCTGTAGAACAAACTCAAAGGATTTATATCTGCTATGTGTTCATACTGTATGTTGGCTTATGTAATGCATGCATTGTTTTTCCTTCAGAAATGTAGCTGTCCCAAAGATAAACCACCTTTTACCTGAATCAAGCCCCTCTTGCCTGCTGCCTCAAATAAACACACACATTGACACACAGCATTCAACCCCCTGGGGAGCACCAGGAGCTTGCTCTGAGGGATTTCTGCTCCATCTCCGCTAACAGGTTTAAAAAAGCCTGTCAGTTTAGGCATTTTGTTTGTCGCCTCTTTGTCGCGATGCTCTTTTTCGTTTCTCTTTCTTCTTTTCTGCGCTCCACTGTCATATTTTCTGTTGTCCGCCATTGCAAAATAATATTCCCTGACGCTCCTCCGCAATGCGTAAGATGCGTCAAAAGTGGACCAATAACAAGCAAGCATTAAAGATGGACGTTTGACAGAACAAATTGGAACATTTTTCATCGGTGCTGTCAAAATCATCATAGTCATTGATTAAATTCTGACACTATCAATTCACAAAAACATAAAACATCCTTCGGGGCCCCCGAAATGCCGGGGCCCCGGGCTGCAGCCCCGGTAAGCCCCTGCTAAAATCTGGCCCAGCCCACGCAGGACATCTGGACTGCTCCCTGGTTCTGGCCTGTACTTCATGTGACACTTGCAAAGACTGAAGGTGCATAAGTTGATCGAGTGTGGCCACAAAACACATGTTGGGAAGACTATGCAGCATCGATGGAAGAGCAGGGAGGTCTGGAGCCATGTGGTGCAGAATGATGCTGCGCAGGACTTCACAGGTGGGCACTGGTGAGACCTCAGTGAGCCCTGTGGCACAGGCCCAAGTCTGGATGGTACCAGCTCCAAAGCTGAGAGACCATCTCTAGGATAAGTGTGATAAGTGGTTGGGACTCCAGCTGGTGGTTTTTCTCCCGATGCCAGGATGTCAGGATCTGGAAGTGGTCCTACAAACACACGAGTGACAGAATCACAATAAGTTTGGACAAAGGAAACATGGACATAAAAACATGAACCCAAAGGTTATACCTGTGAAAGCCCTGTAAAGCGTGGAGTGCAAACATCTTTTCACCACAGTTTTGGGCTTTCGCACCACCACCACCACCTCGCTGGCAGGTTCAGGATGGATTCCCTTTCAAGAAATAAACATAAAAATATGTCAAACTAAAAAATAAATAAATGTAAAGGGACAAGTGAGCAATTTGGTAGGACACAGCGGGACAGATTTGAGAGTTAAGATTTTTACTTAACTTGCAAATATTACTAATCCATAGAGGTTGAACCTGCATTTATTCATTACCTACAAAAACAAACAATTCTAAACAAGTTAGGAGAGAAAAATATATTTGACACAAGTAATATTGAGACTATGACAAATTTCACATGGCACTAATAATATACAGGTGGGAAAGTTATTACAATTATTGTTATGAGAATCATAACCATCATATACTAAATAATATAACAGAAAAGAATGTGTTCCTCTCTTAGTTTATCTTTCTACCTGTGTTCTTTGTCTGTGTCATCTTTGTAAATCTCTTGTGCGGGCCAGTACAGGAGGACCAGTTGGCAGCTGGAGTTGGGAGTAGTGGGCAGTCTGGTAAAAAAAAAAGTGCAACTACATGGTTACAAAAACCTTTACCAGCTGCACTTCTGCAGAAATAAGCCAACATTTCTTTTTTCAACACACAGTGAGATCTAAAATAGATCTGTTTTTAGCACACACACACATATATATAATTAATACTTGTTATAACATATTTAGCTTTAAACAAGTAATAGATTGTAGATTGATTCACTTAACACATCAACTTACATATACACAGCACGCTACATACACACATAAACATATGTTTGGCACTAATGGAACCTCATAAAAATATAATTAAAGATTTTATATCATGTCTGTCTCAAACACTCCAAATAATGTAGCACACTAAATTAGGCTTCTTTATCACGATGTTTATGCGCTTCACATGTTGTAGCTAACGGTTAGCTCGCTAAGCTACGTCTTTTCTTACCTTGGCAGCTGTGGATATTTTCTTCAAGGAAAAACTTGTCCTTTCACGTTTATTAGTTCGAGAATTCGCCGCTGCGATTTCCTCCTCAGCAGCGAAAGAAAAGATTGGCAAATTAAGCAAAGATGTTGAAAAAAGAGACATTTCTCCTTAGTGCAAAGACTCGCAAAGCAGGAAGTGTCGGTTTCCGGTTGTCATGAAAAAGACGTCGCAAAAAAAGTCTTCTTGTTGCAGATACAATAAATAATTCAAGCTGCCGCGCTAAAAATCATGTTTAAAATACGAGCATTGTGTTGGACTGACCTGATTTTGCAGATTATAATATAAAAAGGCTACAATGCCTTGTGATTTTTCCGCCAAAATGCTACGTAAATCTGTGACGTTTTGACTAGTCAGAATAACAATTCAAGATATCTTGAATGTCATTCTGACTAGTCAAAATGTGAATTCAAGATATCTTAAATAGAAAAGCCGTCTACATGATAAAATATTCAAGATATCTTGAATTCATTTTGAGATATCTTAAAAGGAATTTTGACTAGTCATAAGTACACAAAGTTTGTTTTCTCAGTCATCCAGGTATATAACAACAAAAAAGGTTGAATCATGTGGCTTCTGGGTAATTCCAGATGGCTAGGCCTCAGACTGACGAAGCCTCTTGGATGAGGGGCGAAACGTTTCTTTTTAACAAAAAAACGAAGTCCAGATGACATGATTCAACCTTTTTTGTAGTCATAAGTACAGTTCTAGATATCTTTAAGTTAGTTTTGCCTAGTCGTTATTTGCTTTCAAGATATCTACAATTTAATTTGCACTAGTCAAAACTTCATTTGTGATATCTACAAATACATTTAAGATATCCTGAATAATGACGTAATTTAAGATATCTTTAATTGTAATTATGACTAGTCAGAACTAAAAGTGAGATATCTTGAAAGCAAATAATGACTAGTCAAAATTAACTTAGAGATATCTAGAACTGTATTTTTGACTAGTCAAAATTCAGTTCAAGATATCTTGAATTGAAGCCTCCATACAACTCAATGGTAAATCTGACGTCATTATGACTAGTCAGAATGTAATTAGAGATATCTTAAATAAGTATTTTGACTAGTCAAAATGCAATTCAAGATATCTTAAATAACCAATATGTCTAGTCAAAACTCAGTTTCAGATATCTGGAATGTAAGCGTGGTGAATCCTATTTTATGTTAAAAGGGCTTGCCATAAGTCATCTGCTTTTTTTCCTGCTGTAGACCATGGGCAGGCAAAAAAAGTCTTCCTTCTCTAAGTCCCTTTTTGGCAATGCCTGCCAAAAAAACTGGGCCGAGCAGCTTTGTAAAAGGAAAATAAGGCAGGCGGGCAGCCGATCCCTCTTTCTGTCTACATGGCAAAAATAAATGGGCTCATTTAGCCAAAGCTGCCACAGTCAGTGTGAGGCTCTGATAGAGGAAATGGTAAGGTGAAATCCCTTACAAAAAAGTGTTGGGCTGCTGTTTATCGCAGGCTATTGTCTCATGTCATCCGCCTACTGTTTCTGGTTCCATGTCGGTGTTTATCAACAGTACCAACCTGGTCAGGGGTTGTTTGCTTAGCAGTGTGTTTGTGCCCACCACCTGGTTTTAGTCCAGGAACAAACAATCTTAATTCTGAATTTCACTTTTGGTCAAATAATCTCAACATTTCATGTGAGGTTGAGAGGTACCGACTAGATATAGTTGGGCTCACCTAGACACACAGTATGGGCTATAGAGCCAATCTACTTGAGAGGGGCTGGACCTTATTCCACTCTTGAGTTGCCCATGGTGAGAGGCGTCAAGCTGGTGTGGGTCTACTCTTAGCCCCCTGACTTGGTGCCTATGTGTTGAAGTTTTCCCCAGTAGATAAGAGGGTGGCTTCCCTGCGCCTTTTGGTTGGAGGACAGGCTCTGACTGTTGTTTGTACCTGTGCGCCAAATGGCAGTTCAGAGTATCCGACATTCTTGGAGTCCTTGGCGGGGGTGCTGGAAGGTGCACCAGCTAGGGACTCCTTTATTCTGCTGAGGGACTTCAATGCCCACGTGGATAATAACAGTGTGACCTGGAGGAGCATGTTTGGGAGGAACGGCCAATGTGCTCTGAACTTGAGCTGTGTTCTGTTGTTGGACTTCTGTGCTTGTCATAGTTGGTCCATCACAAACACCATGTTCGAACACAAGGGTGTCCATAAGTGCACTTGACACCAGGACGCCTTAGGTCGTAAATCCATGATTGACTTTGTAGTCGTGTAATCTGATTTGCAGCCATTTGTTTTGGACACTTGGGTGAAGAGAGGAGTTGAGCTGTCAACAGATCACCACCTGGTAATAAATTACAAAAACAATGTGGGCTACATAGATAACTGGAGTTCTTTTTGGGGAAAACCTGGTCTGATGTGGAGAGATGGCTTTCATCCAACTTTGGGTGGAGCCGCTCTTTCTAGAAAATTTGGCTGATTTTGTTTGTCCTCCAAATTATTGACAACCCAGGGTCCAATCCAGGAAGCAGAATTGTAGTCTTCCACACCTCTCTGCTGCTTCTTCTCTGTTACCCACCCAACCCCCCACTGAAACAGTGTCAACTCGCCCACAGCTCAGATTAAATAAACCAAAATTCAACTCTACAAATATAAACCATTAAAATCATTAAAATAAACACAGTTACTTTACCAGAACAGGCATCAACTTAATACACTTTGTAGAACAGTGCTTTATGAAGTTCTGTCCATTTCTTTGCATTAAATGACCAGCTGGTCTGCCACATTTAAAATGGCGGATGCTCTGATGTACCGCTGCAGCAGGCCAGCCCGCTCAGCGGGGCATCTAATATAGTCTTTGCTATTTTACGCTGGGTAACACCATTCTGGTATTGCTGCACTATCTTTCTGCGCAACAATGGTGGAATTGGTGATCCTCTTACCATCTTGGCTTCTGAGATACACTGACACTCTGAGAAGCTCTTTTTATACCCAATCATGTTGTCAATTGACCCAATTAGTGTTAATTGGTCTTCCAGCTGTTTGTTATATGCTCAGTTTCCTTTTTCCAGCCACTTTTTGCTACTTGTCCCAACTTTTTGGGGATTTGTTGACACTGTGAAATTTTGAATCAACATAATTTTCCATTAAAATGTTACATTTACTCAGATTAAACTTTTGATCTGTCATCTATGTTATTACGAATAAAATATTGATATTTGCCATCTCCACATCATTGCATTCAGTTTTTATTCACAATTTGTTTAGCGTCCCAACTTTTTTGGAATCCGGTTTGTATATA